GAATGGCAGTCCCGAACTTCACCTTCGTCTTCTTGCTAAGAACACAGTGCTTACAGAACTCAATCTTCCCACTCTTGGCTCCCTTCAATAGTCCCTGCTTACACAATGCCTGCAGTGATTTTTCACCTGTGTGCCCCAATCTATAGTGCCAAAGTCTGCTCATGTCCGCTTCTGAAATAACCGAAGCAACCTGGCCAATCTCGATGCTTCCCTTCAGATAATACAAATTTCGATTGCGGACTCCCCTCATCACCACCAATGATCCCTTAGTAACCTTCGCTACAGCGTTTTCGAAAGTCACCTTGAATCCCTTCGCCTCCAAAGCTCCAACTGAGATAAGATTTTTCTTCAGTTGAGGAACAAATCTCACCTCCTTCAACTCACGGACTACTCCATCGTGCATCCTAATCCGTACGGTACCTATCCCACAAACGCCACAGGATTGATCATTTCCCATGACAACAACGCCCCCGTCGACTTTCTCAAAAGATGCAAACCAGTCTCGCCTAGGGGTCACATGAAAAGTAGCGCCGGAATCAAGCATCCAATCTGATGCATCCACATGGTTCACCTCCGGAGTAATCAGTAGAGAAAAGCACGAATCATCGGAATCATCGCCTTTCGCAATGTTCACCTCATTGGCCTTCGGGCCCTTTTTCTTGCTATTCTCCTTCTCTTTGAGCTTCGGGCAGTCTCTCTTCCAATGTCCCTGCTCCTTGCAGAATGCACATTGGTTCTTTGTTAATTGGTGGCGGCCTCTAGACTTTGACCTCCCTCTGTTACCACCTTTTGGATATGGGCTTCTACCTCTCGTCGACAAGGCCTCGCCTGAAGTACTAGCGCGGGAAGTCTCCTTATCCTTCCTCCTCAAATCGTAGTTCGTCAAAGCGTTAGTCACTTCACTATAGCTGATAGAAGATCTCACGTTCAATAAAGTGAGCACGAATGTATCATACTCCTCATCCGGTAAGGAGCCCAACAAAATAATCGCCTTGTACTCATCCGATATCTTCTCATCAACATTCGCCAAGTCCGACAACAACTTCGTATAGTTGTTCACATGAGCCGCAAGCGAGGTGCCTCTGGACATCTGGAATCTGAATAACCTACGCAGCAAGTGCAATCGGTTCTCAACACTCTTCGTAAGGTACTTATTGTTGAGAATTTCCCACATCTTCATCGCAGACGTCACCCCAATCACATCATACTTCAGCTCCTGTTCCAAACAGGACCTGATCACCCCACAAGCGTTCCTATTCATTTTCTCCCATACCGCCTCATCATATTTAGGTGGCCTCTCGTGGACCATGATGGTCTCTTCCAAATTCTGAGCATTTAACGCATCCTGTACGTCGCTCATCCACAAACCAAAGTTGATTTTTCCGTCATATTTCACCACACTAATTTTGGTGTTTTGAAAACCAACTTGTATTGTACCCGCCATCGATTTGCTGCTTTCACCTTCTTCTCCCATTGCGAACTAACTCCAAATTGTAGAGAAAGAACAAATTTGATAGAATTAGGAACCACCCAACTGAACCCTAGATCGGATTCCAAATAGATCTCCTATCCACACGAGGAAAGCGAAATCTCCAACGGCAACTCCTAATGCTATCTCCACCGAAGCCGAGAACTCCAAGAACTAAGCTTCACACAAGAATCTTCCTCCACCAAAAAACCCTAGATCTGAAATCTGGGCTCTGATACCACTTGTTGCGCGCAGCGGAAATTTCGGCAGCACTTCGGCAGCACAACAAGAGAGTCAGGTCGCAATAAGAATTCTTGTTTCTCAAAGGGAACAAGAATCTGAAGCCTATATCCTATCAAAGTAGGATATTAGCTCTTCCTCTCGTCAGCTCTAGGACTGCGCGTCGAGGGACCCTAAAAGCTATTACAAATCACACAAAAGCAGTACAACCAATTTTAACGTGGTTCGGCAAATTGCCTACGTCCACGGGGCAAGGAGGGGGGAGATCTACTAATAGAGGGAGAGAATACAAATAGGGTTTACACAAGAATCCAACAAATAAAACCCTCACACAAAACTCTCAAACCTCTCACACAAACTCTCTCTACAAAAGATGCTCAGAACTCTCTTGACGGCTGCTGAAAACACCTCATGCTTCTGCGGTTTTTTTTTTTTTTTTCAGCCGCTTCTTTGTCCCAGCAGCAAAAAACACCAGCGATCAACCTCCTTGGCACACGTTTCCCAAAACCCTAGAGACACATTATATAGGTGCACAAACTAATTCGGGTGGAGTTTTTTTCATCACTTCATTAAAATTTGATATTTGCACATGAATGAAGTATGAGAATGTATTTTACATTCTGACATCCGTGGGAACAAGTTATCTTCCTAAGCTGATAATTTCTATTCTAATCACAATTAGCAGTGACTAGTGAGGGGTTTTGATTTCAAATTATTAATCTTTTTCTTTGAAATGTCAAGGTGAAAATTTTATAACTGCGCTATCGTTGTGATGTTATAATGCGCATAAATCAGTATCAATGGGAACAGCTTGGCTCTTTGGGTGTTCCTCTGAAGCAAACATTAGAGCTAGCTTTGTGGCTGTGGCCCTTGCGAGTTTGGAAAAGAACAAGGAGAGAAAGAGGAAGAAGGCGAAGTGACATGTTAAACGTCAGCTGTTGAATTTTCGCAGATTGAAGCAGAGATGATTCATGCTTGATATTGAAACGGAGAATTTTTGAAATGGGCTGCTTTTAGAAAATATTTAGCAAAACCGACCATTCTGCTAAATATTTAGCAAAACCGACCTCTTTTGACTATAGCTCATCAAAACTGGCCAAAAAGTTGTCGGTTTTGTTGAATTTGAGTTTTAAAACACACGGGACTAGTAGTCTCGTGTGTTTAGTAGCCTCTAATCGGCCACTAAATTAAACTCAGAAAACCCATAGGATTACAAGTCCCGTAGGGTTTTTTTTCACAAATACAAAACCGGCCACTATACTTTCACTCCAACAAATGGAACTGCACCCTTAGGTCGGCCCTCCTCCCCAACCTCCGGCGATCCTTCTCCCTCGCCTTCGGCGACTCTCCCATTGTCGTCTCCGGCAGGGCCCTAATATTGTCATCCGAGCTCTTGTCCTCCCATACCTCCGCTCTCCTCTCCCACTTCCACGCCTACTACCATACCCTCGACCTCACCACCCGCCACGACGCCTTCCAAATCCTCTCCCCCCCCCCCGACGCTGCCCGCTTGAGGCCCCCTTTCGCTCTCCCCACACCCCGACGCTGCCCGCTTGAGGCCCCCTTTCGTTGGCTCGGCGATTTCCACCCCTCCCTCTTCACCAACCTACTCTGGACCCTCACCATCTCCTCCTCCTCCCAATCCCTCGTCATCCCCAAGATCGAGCAGCTGGAGCGTGGGATCCGCCTCATGGCCCCCTCCAACGCCGACAGGTTCCGCGACGTCTGGGATCTTGGCATGTATCCCTGTTTCAAGGTAGTAACAATGCATACTGTTTCTAAAAAGTAAAGACTTAAAATATTAAAATATAAAACAATATATTTGCTTCCATTCTTCAACTAGATGGCATTTGTATACATTAAACTTTTTCTTGTGTTGCACAAATATTTTCAGTTTAGCACTTTACCAGATAGTGACTACAATATTTCAAGAAGATAGGTTTTCCTGTGATATGTTTAGAACATGGAAAATGCTAATTGTACTGCGCTTTTTACACTGCCACTAACAAACATGTGGCGTCCTTTCTTAAAATTTGCAATAAGAAAGTAGTAAATCACCACGTCCTGCCCTTTTGTTTGTGGTAATACCAAAATAGTATGAAATAGAGTACAATTATCATTACTCTTAGAACGTAAGCGTCTCGAAAAAGAAGAGTAAAAAGGGGGTTAGTGCACGCGCGTTAACAATCCTCAAATGTGACAAAACTAGAGTCTAAGAAAGATCAGTTTCATTTAGGACGTGTTTGTTTTATTTTCATAAATTTATGGACGTAGATGTTTGGTCGATAAACCATTTTCATAGTTTTGCATGCGTGTTCTATAAGTGTTTTGTTTGTTTGTTTGTTTAACCTTTACAGCAAGGGGAAAAGTGCACTTCCCCAAAAAATTGTTGTTTGGTATGCGGAAAAAAAAAGGTAACCAAAAAGGAAAAAGAGAGAAAGAGATAGCTTGTAAAAAGAAGGTTAACTGTAATATCTCTGCACAATATTTAATTACTAAAATAGTAAGTTTCCAGCAGTTTCCGCTCAAAAACCTCTGATTTCAATATTTAGGAAACCACTTGAACAAACCTGAATAATTTTTAGGAAACCACTTGAACAAACCTGAATAATTTCAAAGCTGTCAGAGCATAGAAACCCCAATGTTAGGTTTTGGCCAAAAAAAGAAGCCCTTAACTCAGATTTTAGAGAGTTATTGGAATACAATTTGGAATACACACACATGCACACATACAAATTTAACATACATATGAAAAGAAATCCGCATAAATGACTATTCTTTTTCCTGTAGAGAACCAATACATTAGTAAACCACAGCATAAAAAGGCTAAAAATTAATGGTTAGATGCGAGGTTTCAAGACAATGCAATACATTAGTAAACCACAGCATAAAAAGGCTAAAAATTAATGGTTAGATGCGAGGTTTCAAGACAATGCAGGATACAATCAGGAAGTAAATTTGAAAGGCTAAAAATTAATGGTTAGATGCGAGGTTTCAAGACAATGCAGGATACAATCAGGAAGTAAATTTGGACTCGAGTCCAACAGATTTGAATTTGCATATAACCATCTAAGTCTCAATAGTGAAACATTGACCTCAGGCATACAGTGTTGAGCCGCATTTCAAATGCTAAAACTTCTCAAAAAGTCACATATCATGCTTCAGTTAAAATGTTTGAATCCAAGAAAAACTATGGCAAACGTCTACTGCTTCCATGAGAAACAGTGTAGAGAAGAGAGTCTGAAGCAGGAACAAAAACGCAAACTAAATGAACAAATCCAAGAACCTCATAAGCATGCAACTAACACCAGAAATTATTGATATTTACCCAATATATGATATGGTATAATATCCAAACTATAGAGTTTGATAACTCAGTTCATGTCGATGAGCTTAGAACTCTCAACTATAATATTACAGGGGTTCTATGTACACTTGTTTTGTACAACAAACAAAACTGGATCCATGGAAGGATATTTAGAAAAAAGAAAACTATTCATCAGTTGTATTTTCCCTCGGCAAAGTTCTTTCAGTTTCTACAATTATGCAGTTGTTCGAAGCAAAACTCTGTAGGTCAGCACCACTCGACTCCAGATCAAACGTTATAATGCTCTCAAAAGAAAACTTTCGAGTCCATAATGACTGGATCACTGCGAAATACTTGCACTGGCCCTTCATATAATGTCTTTGCTTATACCTTCACTTGTACATAATGACTCTTAACTTGCTATGTTTTCACTTTCCTATTCATCACATCATGATAGTATAAAAGTACGAAAATCGGCTGTCCTAGAATAGAGAAGAAGAACCAGAAGATCATGTTTCCCACCTGTAAAATTTGCTAAGTATAATGTTGGAAGAGGAGATTTAGATTAAATGAATAGTATGTCAACTAGTTGAAAAAACTTTCATGTTGCACTGCCAATTATAGGAAGATGAAACTTTATGCAATTAAAGTTAGAAAATCTAACACAAAATGTCAGGGGAGTGCCAATAAGTACATACCATAGAGTTTCTGAATTTCTCCTGAAGGTACTTTGTCAAGATGGCCAGAGGAATCTGGCGAAGAAAATAAGACAGGAAACACTGGTCAACAAAACTAAGACATATTTTCTATTTTAATCATTTTGAAGATGATTGTAACTTTTCAGAAAGTAAAACTTTGACACTAGACTTCTAGTGTTAAAGAGTACTTGGAACAACAAAAACCTGCTGTTAATGGATTTTCCATATCAACACCTACAATCTTCTCTAGTCACCCATTTTTTGTGAAATCTTAATTCAAACAACAGTGCTACTAATTACCTTACTCTCTTTTTCCATGTCTGCTAAGGTATTGCATGTTCTCTTTCATTTATTTTCCTTCGGTATTTGGTGGTTTACATGCCCAACACAAATCCCCGAGAAGATGTGCTTCCAAAAGTGTCAACAAGCATCCTAAATTGACACTCCTATGAATCAAGAACATAACTGGAAGTGGAAGGCATGTGTCAAAGAGTGTCTAAAGAAGTGATGACGTCCTACCTGTGTCTTGGGGTGTTTGACACATTTTTAAGTTTCATTTAAAAGCTTCCATGCTAATCACAGAGCTGGCATAATAGATAACATGCGTATCAAGCACAAGTTCTATGGGGATATGAAGGAAGTTAAATATACAAGACCAACCACTACATCCCTCACTAAATTTAGAAAGAAAAATGCATTTGGGAAATGCCCTTCTTGTTGAGTATATCCATATCGGGTCAACTCCTTTAAATCATGTAATGCCTATACATTTGATGTCTTTCCAATTTTATCTTGTCTTGTAGACTTTATTTTTGAGAGCGACCCATTGTGCTTCATATGAACAAATAAAAGACCACTAACGTTATTCCGTCTTTAGCAGAAAACTTTCAGTTTCTTACTTTCAAGGGAATGAAGCGCATATATTTCAAGGTATATTAACAAAAGTATTTGACATCATATAACATGTTGGATTTAAGTCACATTAACAAAAAAAAAAGATGTACCTGGACCATTATCCCTATGAAAGCCCAAAATTTGAATATATGGCAGGGTACAGCTACACATAGCTGGAAAGGAACAAAAACATGGTTAAGAGAAACAATTCAGAAAGGAAATAAACAAACTCTGCAGGATTCATGGTTTCTTTATTTCTTTATTTTCGATGTTTATGTTGGTTGGACTTTTTCGTGTTTTGTGTGTGCCTTTTTTTTTTTTTTTTTTTTTTTGGGGGGGGGGGGG